ATATATATATTTGTTATGTAAATATTGTTGTTATTTTCTTTTTGGCACTCGTAGTTTGAAGTTTAGCTGCTAAAGATGCTACATGCTACACACAATATGGTTTGTAAGAGGAGATCGTTTTTATTTGAATTGAAGTTTTACACTTGTGACTACTTTAAATTTTGCAGAATTTAATTTAGCGGAAGCTATCGGTCCAATAACACTTTATAAAATTAGCAAAAACACTCTAATCTGATGAATTAGAAGCTAGTTCTGCTAGCGATTTAGCAGTTAGTGAAACTTTGTCCACCACTGGTTACAGTCCTAAAACTCCTCTCTGGTCTCGGTTTTATACTTTAAACATTTGTTGTGTTTACTGTGCTCCATTTTGATTTAAATCTGAGTTTCTGAGTTTTGCAAATCATTGCATTAAGTTGTTATTTCCATTTTACAAAATATCCCAACTTTTTCCAAACTGCGGTTATACAGTGTTTCTGAAAATGCTCTTTGTGCACAATAATAAAAATATGAATGAGAATAATGCCCTTTACACTGACTTTCTCCTTAGGCGAGAGAACTTCAGAAAGCTGTGTCCAGGCGAGAGCGTGCTCCCAGGTGAAGAGAGTCCGGATCTCTGCGAGCAGCTCTGGATCTTATAAGACACCGAGTTGTAGTAAACGGAATTGATGTGGCAGCCGTGGTGTTGGCTCCGGCTCACCAGAGGGCTGTCACAAGCCTCCTCCCGTGTGTGGTAACACACACAGGAGGAGCAGAGGGAGCTGAGGCTGGACTCCTGCTTCTGTCTTTCCTCCTTGATCTGAAAGTGCAGCCTGTGCCTGCAGGGGCTCCCCCTCTCCGGGTCGTCTGCTGGCGAGGAGATGAGGTTGGTGCGGCTGGTGCCCTCTTGCATGGGCAGGAAGAGCGTGCTGTGGCCGTGCACCATGCTGGCCCTGTTCCTCTCCCTGCGGTTGTCTCTGTGCTGCTCCCCGACGGCCCGCAGGCCCAGGGCCCCCTCCAGGAGGCCCCTGTCCCTCTTCAGCGAAGCCCGCTCTTGAGCATCTCGCCTCTCGTCCTCCGTGTTCATGGTGAGGAAGCGGAGCACCACCAAATTGAGGAAAGCCCCGATGACGGTCAGCCCCACCAGGATGTACATGAAGCTGAAAGCCACGTAGGGGGTCTTTTTCTGCAGGTCCTCCTTTTTCTGCAGGGCCACAAAGTCCCCAAAGCCAATAGTGGTGAGCGTAATGAAGCAGTAGTAGTAAGCGTGGAAGAAGCTCCATCCTTCGAAGTGGGAGAAGGCCGCGGCGCCCACGCACAGCGTGCCGAGGCAGGACAGGAAGCCCACCAGAACCATGTTCTCCATGGACACCTCGGTGTTCCGAAAGCCCAGACACTGTTTGAGCTTGTGCAGGAGGTAGCGCACGAACGTGTTCATCCTTTCTCCGAGGCTCTGGAACATGACCAAAGTGAGGGGAATGCCAAGGACGGCGTAGAACATGCAGAAAACCTTCCCTGCATCCGTTCCCGGAGCGGCGTGGCCGTAACCTAAAAGCAGATGGGTGGAAACAAAAAGAAGAAAATTGAGGCCTAGCGTTCTTTACAGGTATGCCTATCAACTGCCCATCACCTTTTATGTCAGAGTGTTAAACTAAACCACAGGTCAGAGTTACCGTTGTTCTGGTCAAAGCTTGTATTCACAAACTTATGTGATGCCAAGATCTTGCAACATGTCTTAGAGCTCTAATTATGTGTATAACCATTTTGTGTTAGGGTTGACTTGGATGTAATCTTAGTTTGGAATGACTCCAAATTTTTATCATTTGTAGATGCACATCCAGTGATTGATTTCTGACAGTTTCATTAAACTCTGCCCAGCAAGTTGTGAGATATTTTGCTAACAGACAGGCACGATTCCAACAGTTCATGGCCAAGTTTTAAAAACAGCTCAAGCTGTCAGTAAGTTCACAGCGTGTATGTGTTGAAGATGACTCACATCTACTACCACATCTATTTTTAGCTCAACATATTCTCATTTTCTTGAGTTAAAGCCAGTTTTGTGTGTAACAAATCTGCTTCGCTGCGGCAGCCACCGTGAATTGGAATGAGACCAAAAGTTAATCAGTTTTGAGGATGTGTCGATTTGTTTCTTTTTGAGAGTTTCACAAAAATCCGTGCAATTGTTCTTGAGATATTTTGATAACACGACAGGTATGAGGCACACAGAGAATCACAGGCGGCGATAGTTAAAAAAAAAAAAACCCCGCTGTGAAGTAAATGTGGCAACAGATGTTTGCATTTAATCATCAGCATATTTCAAAGTCGAAAATAGCGTGGAAATGCTGTGAAAAAACAGAATGGAAACCCAACAAAGCGCTGCTGTTTTATTAAAACCGAAGACAAACTCACCGATGGTGGTGATGACGGTTATGGCGAAGTAGAAGGAGCCTGCGAATTTCCACTGCCTCCCGGCGCGGTGCGGCTCAGCCTGCAGCACCACGCGCTCGATTTCGCGGTAGTCGTCCTCGGAGAAGCGGTACTTCTTCTTCATCTCGTTGCGCTTCTGCTCCAGCACGCGCCTCCGCGAGCTCTCCGACTCGGACTCCAGCGCGTCGAACACCGCGGCGCCCACCAGCAGGTAGGAGAACATGCAGAGGATGAGCGACAGCGTCCGCACGTTCTGCTTCTTCATCATCATCCTCGCCGTCGGCATGAGTGTGGGGGGGAAAGTCCGGGAGCCGAGGCGCAGTTACAGGTGGTGGTGGTGGTGGTGGTGGTGGTCACCCACGGGATGCTTTTCTCCTTTTTCTTCTTCTTTAGCGCAGACGCCACATGGATGCTGCTGCAGCCTGTTGCTTCGAGCAAATAAAACCTTCAAGGAGCTGTTTCATTTCGAGTTGTTGATTTAAAAAAAAAAAAAAGAAAAGAAAACGCGCTCTACTCCTGATGTGTGTTTAAGTAAGTGGCGTCGGATGACTTCTTCGCATGCGCAGTGCAGTCCCCACATCCCCAGCTGTGTGTAATGTAGGAGTGTGTCTACAGATTCAGCACCACAGACAGCAACCAGTGGGCTTTCAGAACCACCGAGAGGCAGAAAAAAACCCCACTGAGCTCTTCTCCGATCGTGATCTGAATTATACATCCCTAAGTTTGGACGCGGTGTCAAATTCTAATAAAAACAGGAAGCAACGATTCTGCAAATCTTACAAACAAATATTTTATTCAGAGGATAACATAATGTAAACATATCTAATATTCAAATGAAGAAATAATACAATTACTTAGGGAGGGTAAAGTGTCCATGTTGTTTTAACAACATTCTGTAAACATCAAGGACACATGGGTCAAACTCAGGCTTAAAGCTAGAGCTTCAAAAATGTATAAATGTCTTGAAAAATGGAAAAATGGACCGTAAACTATATCTCCCATTATGCATGTCAAGCATTTTACCAAAAACAATGACAGCATGTGGAGGTGCAAGTAGCTGGCAACGGGCAAAATATGCTGATTCGAAGTTCCATATTGCTGCTTTTTCTGATCCTTCTGTGTTTATAACAGAGGAGCCCAATGTGGAGCCCGCGGGCCAAATTTGGCCCGCCAAGCCATTTGATTTGGCCCACCAACGGTTGCCAAATTTACAATGTTGTAACTTGTTATCCCATAGGTAGAAACACTGTATTTCCATTGGTCAAATGACTGTATAAAAGGGCTGTAGTGAAGGTAGTTTTCAGCCATGGTGCTGACATATCTTTGATTTATTAGGATTAAACAACATGAAATGACAACAAGAAATATTTAGATCAGATTTAAACCCGCATGTAGATTTGTACACTTTATAAGGCCACAAAAACTCATATTTTATCAATTTATGAAATGTCCCATGAGCCTTTGCTACTTGAGCGCATGGCAGACTTTCTCCAAGGGCACAGACTAAAACAAAAGAGGGCCGTTGCACAGCTTAATCGTTAAAAATAAAGGACTTTACTTTAAAAAGTATTTGTATTTCATGTATTATATAACTGCATTTGGCCCGCAGCCATGGATAGATTTTCATTTTGGACCCCTCGGGGAAAATGTTTGGGCACCCCTGGTTTATAAGCTGTTAAAGTGCTGTTTCTGTGCAGGAAATACCACACAGAGCTCAGCTGTTGTTCCTTAGCAGTGCTCAGCCTAACAACGAGACGCGGAACATGTTTTATGTTTAGTCAAAGTTGTAACGACCCCTTTGAAGGCGACCCTGATGCTCACATGGCCCTCGGTGCAAAAGAGTTTGACACCCCTGATAACTGAGGCCAGACGCTCGAGCTTTAGTTTGGTCTGATGCAGTTCTTAGAATCCTTCAACTATTGTCTTTTTTATGATTTGTCACCTGTTTTCAGTTGGTGAAAATGTTTGTTTTTCCAAATGGATAATGGAAATTCAGGTGTCACATTAGCATCACTACAGAGGTTCACACACTAGTTTATAAACTATAGACAATGCACAAAAAATGAAATTACCACTAACTAGCAATGACATGACTAATAACAGTAAAAAATATA